GCCATTCTCGAGGTACTCACTGTGAAGGTGAGTAATTCTACATGGCTCTTGAGAACATCCCTCTCTTAAGGACATGTCGAAGATTTACTGACCTGAACCCTAAATAAAGCCTTCTGGAGAACAGTAACTAGAAGACAAGTGAAGTTCTACTCTTTTCTGTCGTTTAGTTAAGTATTTATTGAGCTGCTGCTTCGTGTAGATACCACTAAGCTGTGCAATTACTGGTGCATGATATACTCAACAAATTAGTGTATAAATTAGTAAAAGAATGATGCCACCTTTGCAGTCATTTATTCACTGAGCACTTCTTGTTTACTAGACACAAAATATTCTAAGTGCTAAGAGTATAATGGTGAGCTATACAGAAATCATCCCTGCTCTCATGGAGTGTGTATATTAGTGAGAGAGACATTGCAACAAAAATATATTAATATACAATTACAAATTGGGTTAGTTTGTGAAGAAAACTAACAGCTGCTATGATATACTGTAGGAGTGGGATCAGTTTAGATTGTGTGTTCTGGGAAGGACTTTCAGTCTAAGAACTGAAGGATATGTAGGAATTAGCCAGGTCAGAATTGGAGCACTGGGGAAGACAAAATCATGAAGTTTCTCAGTTTGGGAGTGGGAGGGCTGGAAGTGGGTTGGTATCCTTGGGGATCTGAAATAAGGCCAGTGGGTGGCTGGAATGTAGAGAGGGAGGAGTAGAGTTGTACAAAATGAAGTGGAGTGTTTGGGAGGGCTTCCAGAAGATAACTGTAATACAGGTTCCAAAACTCTCAAGTTTCATTACTCTTAATTTAGGGAATAAAATAGAGATTGATTTGTGGCTTGGAAAAAGTGAAAAAACATTGGTGAATTTGGAATAATTGGTTAATCTATACTACATGGAAGTTGCTATTGTATTGTGGAAAAAATGTGGGCCTTGGAATCAACTAACTTCATCCCATCTTTGCTTCTTAATGGTGTGTGACTTTGGATAAGTTACTAAGCCTCTCTGAGTTTCTTTTCTTTCATTTGTAAAGTGGAGATAATAGTGCCCCTTTATTGTGAGAATGAAACTAAATATGTAAAATACTTAGCAAAGGGCCTAGCTTATACTAAGTGGTCAGTAAACTACGTGTTGCTATTACTCTTACTACTATTTCTCTTCTTTCTCCTCAAGGCAGATAGACATCTGCCAGATTATCTATAAAATATTCACTAGGTGAACCTGATGAACACAGCAAAAGCATGCACAAACTGGCATGCCTGTAATGACTTTAGACTATTTTATGGGTAGTCCTCAGTGAAGTGGTGGGAGTATTTCAATCTGTCCCATGATTGTTGAAAAAGCAGAATTTTTTCCATCACAAACATAAATGGAACTGTATGTACTCTGGGAAAACTAGCTTTGCATTTCAAATAAAGCATTACAAAGCTAAATTTACTATGAAAAGCCATAATGTTATAGAACACACTATAGCCTTTTCAGAGAGAATCTTGCAACTGTAGTAAAATAAAGACTTCCTGAAAATGCTCACATGCCATGTTAAAGACATAGGGTTTCCTTTATTTTACATACAATTGTCTAGTTACATTTAGCACAAGTAAGATAAACCATTTGGGATAAACTGTCATGTAGGTGTCTGTGGCTGACTCTGTTATTAATATGGAAATACAGTAAGACTCTGACACAATACAAAAAATGGATTCTAAAACCTTCAGTCGTATTAATGAAGGGTAATCAAATAACTCCTAGCTAGCCAGTTGGGAGTTCCTAGGGTGTGGAAGCCAATTACCAATTGTCTTCAGGTTATTGAGGTTATTATGGGGTATATTTGAATGCTAATGACATGTCAAATAATTTTGATAATGACAGTGAAGATTTTTTTTGGAAAGAGAAAATCATTTGAGAAAGCATATTTTGGCCTTTGATTTAGATATTAATTTGTAGAAAAAGGCAATATGCTATGGCTAAATTAATTTGACTATGATCCTTAAGAAGAGATACATTTTACTTTGTGAACACTATATATACACATATAGAAAACTAAAACAAAAGTTTTATGAAACAATATGTATTCCAATACTTTGTTATATTTTACTTCAATTTCTGGAAAATGCTGTAGTTCACTAAACTAGTTTTATGACATAGTGGTTTACAACTTGCACTTTGAAAAACGTTGCCCTAAATGAGTGTGTATTAAGTGATGCTTCAGAAAGGAACAACCAGGCTACTCTAGAACCATAAGATCAGAACTATTTCACCGCTAGTATATCCCATACCACTAGTAATAGATGACTAGTAGGTGCCAAGCCCATTTGGCAACCTGGGATGGTCTTTTAAAAGGGATTCATATATATATATGTCACATGTATATATTCACACACATATTTACTTGCTTACACACAAGCTCTCACAGGAAGGATACATAAGAAATTATTACTAACATGGATTGCCCAAGGGAAGGAGAACTAGGTATCTGGGCAAGAGTGATAAGACACTTTAAGTGCCGTATACCCTTTTATTTTTCATTCTTGTTAAATTTGAATCCTGTGAACTTATTTATTCTAAACATTAATAAATTCTGCTTCTATGTTATTCAAGAAAGAAAACAGTAAGGTGACCAGTATGGATCAGAGTTTTACAGTAAAGATTACTGTGTTGGCTGGGCGTGGTGACTTATACCTGTAATCCCACCACTTTGGGAGGCCAAGGCAGGCAGATCACTTGAGGTCAGGAGTTTGAGACCACCCTGGCCAACATGGTGAAACCCCGTCTCTACTAAAAATACAAAAATTAGCCAGGTGTGGTCGTGTGTGCCTGTAATTCCTGCTACTCAGGAGGCTGAGACAAGAGAATCATTTGAACCCAGGAGGCAGAGGTTGCAGTGAGCTGAGATTGTGCCACTGCACTCGAGCCTGGGCAACAGAGCAAGATTCCGTCTCAAAAAAAAAAAAAAAAAAAAAAAAAAAAAAAAAAAAAATTACTGTGTAGATTAGCAGAGTCCAGCATAGGAGTGGGGAATTACATCCTGCATGCTGTTTACTGCCCTTGATGTAGACCAGCTATATTGACAGTGCTATGCAATGATGTTTAGGCCACTCATTAAAAAGGGTTACTTTGTGTTTTGTGCTCTGCTTATTTATTGTAGTGGGGTATATACTAGATTCTGGAAAGCTTTTTTTCTAATAGAATATGGTTAATTTTAATGTTTCAATGCTTTTTTTAAAATTTTTAATTTCTAAATTTGTTATTTAGAAGTAATTTCAAACTTACAGAAAAGTTGTATGAGTAAGAAAAGTTCAAATAACACCTGTTCCCATAGTCACCTTTGGTCAACATTTTACCACGTTTGTCTTCTCATTTTATCTACCTACCTACTTAACTATCTGATTTATTTTTTTTCCTGAACCCTTTCTTCATAACTGCTTCAAAGTGTATTTTCTAAAATTAGGGATATTATCTTACTTAACCACAGTACACATGTCAGCCTCAGTAAATTTCTTGTTCATACCATACTTTATCGACTGTACTGCTAACTTTCCTTTTTTGTCACTTGACCAAGGAATATGCTTTATATCATTTTTTTTATTGCTTTTTGGCACAGGATTTGGACTAGCATTAAGAATTGCATTTAGTTGTCATATCTCTTTAGCTGCTTTTTTTTTTTTTGGGAGACAGAGTCTCTCTCTTGTCACCCAGGCTGGAGTGCAGTGGCGCAATCTCGGCTCTCTTCAACCTCCATCTCCTGGCTTCAAATGATTCTCCTGCCTCAGCCTCCTGAGTAGCTGGGATAACAGGCATGCACCACCATACCCAGTTAATTTTTATATTTTTAGTAGAGACGGGGTTTCACCATGTTGACCAGGCTGGTCTCAAGCTCCTGACCTCAGGTGATCCGCCCACCTCGGCCTCCCAAAGTGCTGGGATTACAGGCCCCCACCGTGCCCAGCCTCTTTAGCTTCTTTTGATTGGCAACATTTCCACTTCCTTTATTTCTTTTTTACAACCCTGAAATTTTTAAAGAATACAGTTTTTCCTTTTTAAAAATAGAATGTTGATCATTTTGGTGTTTTCTTGTGATGAAATTCAAATTATGCATTCTCAGAATATTATATAGCTGATGTGTCTTTCTCAGGATATAACATCTGGAGACACAATATCCATCTAACATTAATGATGTTAGAGAGTACTTGGTGAAGGAGTTGTCTAGCTTCTACTGTATAATATTTTCCCCTTGCAACCAAGAAACAATCCATGGAAAGACATTTTAAAACCATGCGAATATACTGATCCATAAAAATTTCCCCCTAGATTTAACATCCATGATTGTCCTTGCCTGATCCAATCTTTACCATGTTGGTTGCAAATGCTGATTTTTCCATTGCTAGCACTACCTCTACATTTACCAGTCAACACTCAGCATTCTGTTTTAAGCCATAGCCCTCATTTCTACTTTTGCGTTTTTATATAAACTCGTAAATTCCCCCCTCCCATGGTTTATAATCAATTACTGTGTAAAGCAGAGGATTTGATTCTGGGGCATGTCATTGATGACTTCAAGAGGTCAGTGATCACCTTGAAATTGTGTGCAGTCTTCTGTGTTCTGACATCTTTCTAGGGAGAGTGTTCCTTTCATCAGAATCTTGAAAGGGTTCTGGACTCAAAAGTGGGGAACATGTTGAAGGGTTAGACTTTAAGCTGTCTGTAATACTTATAATACATTTGTATATCCATTCCCCTGCTTTTTACCCCTAGTGATAACTGAAATGTTAGAACCATATTGTATGTCCCTCTGTAGTACATTCTATTTTTTGTCATCTGTTTTTAAACCACAACTTAAAATAGTACTGTATTTTGGTTCCTTTAAATTTTTTCCTAGAATATATAATAAATGTTAAGATCTTCATTGCCACCGTAGTAGCAGTTTATGGTGTATGGAACCAGTCTTGTGAAGCAGTGAATTACCTTGATTTAATTTGAAATTTTAAAACCAATGTTTTTTACACTATAGTTTTATTAGCTCTCTGGGAGTGAGCTACATGATGTTGTGCACTGACAATTACCCAAATGTTCTCGCCTTCTCTTTCCTGGATGAGCTTCAGAAGGAATTCATTACTACTTATAACATGATGAAGACAAATACTGCTGTCAGACCATACTGTTTCATTGAATTTGGTAAGGGCCTGATTTTTTTTTCCTTTTTATTCATCTCCATCCAATCATAAGCAATTTTAAATCTAATATTGGGTGGAGGGGGGACTTCAGCTATCTTGCTTTTGATAGAGTAATTTGGTAAATGATCTATAAATTATGGTAACTTTTTACTTAGATGCTTATTAGAAAAAAAATTGTGTTTGAACTGTGAAGGGGATTTTGAGTATTGGTCCAAAGAATTAATGCCAGAGGATAACTTCTCAGTGAGAAATTTGTAAGCCAGAGATTCAGACTTTTGTGTTTCTATAATAATCTTTTATAGTCTGCTTCATGTAGAATAGGGGATGGCAAACATTTGCTGGAAAGGATCAGATAGTACATATTTTAGGCTTTAAGGATCATATAGTCCCTGTCACAACTATTCAGCCCTGCCGTTGTAGCTCAAAAGCAGCCATAGGCAGTACGTAAATGAGTGCAGTTATATTCTAATAAAACTTTACAGAATAGTCAGCAGGCTAGATTTGGCCTGTGGTCAGTAGTTTGCTCAACTTCTGATGTAGAAGGAAAAAGTTGTAAATAGTAAAAATAAAATTCCACTTGGAAAATATTTAGGAAATGTCTTATATTAGTTTTATTCAATTTATTCTTTAAAACCTACATTCTAATGGTGTAAGCAATAACAAGAAAACAGATTTATAAAAACATGCAACTTCTAGTGTGTATTCTTATGTAATTGCAGCTGGTAAATCTGACAGATTTAATATTTCATGAGATAGGAATCTCTATAAAAATCAACACTCTGGGCCAGGTGTGGTAGCTCATGCCTTTTATCCCAGCACTTTGGGAGGCCGAGGCAGTAGGATCACTTAAGGCCAGGAGTTCAAGACCACCCTGGGCAACAGAGAGAGACTCTGTACAAAAAAAATAAATAAGCTGGGCATGGTGGCAGCCCCAGCTGCTTGGGAGACTGAGGCAGGAGAATCACTTGAGCACAGAAATTCAAGGTTACAGTGAGCTATGATTGGACCACTGCATCCCAGCCTAGGTGACAGAGCAAGACCCTATCTCAAAAAAAAAAAAAAAAAAATCAAGACTTTGGTTTAAAGTTAAAGCTCTTTTTTGTTTTTGCAATTTCTTGAAGTGGATGTAATACACTTAGGTAGTGTTAAATCCTTAGTTTATTTAAAATTACTGATTTCTAGAGGGTAAAACTGTTGACTCCATGATATATATTAATCATTAAACACAAGTAATATTGGAATACTTCATGACAAATTGAAAAATTCTGAATAATAAACTACCTATAATATTTACTATCCATAAGCATCATATTCTGAAACGATTGACAAGTGACTGCAAGGAAATTTATGTTTTATTTTACATAGATAACTTCATTCAGAGGACCAAGCAACGATATAATAATCCCAGGTCTCTTTCAACCAAGATAAATCTTTCTGACATGCAGACGGAAATCAAGTTGAGACCTCCTTATCAAATTTCCATGTGCGAACTGGGGTCAGCCAATGGAGTCACATCAGCATTTTCTGTTGACTATAAAGGTGCTGGTAAGATTTCTTCTGGTGAGTTCTGGATCTCAGTTATTTTATTTTTTAAAAATCCTTGGGAAGAACTGAGAATCTCTTGAAAATGAATTACTTCATTCTGATATTTTAAGTCAAGTACATGAGAGAATATAGAAGTTCAAAGCAATCCTTTTTCAGTGATTTATAAAGTAAGCTACCAGATATGTGACTAGTCAGGAAAATACTTTCAAATAGCAACCTCAGAGGATCTCTTTGCTAGAAAAACATTTTTTTAAATTTAAAATTTTTAAAAGTTAATTTTCATGGGTACATATTCGGTGTGTAATATATTTATGGGGTACATGAGATATTTTGATACAGGCATGCAATGCGTAATAATCACATTAGGGTAAATGGGGTATTCATCACCTCAAGCATTTATTATTTCTTTGTGTTATAAACATGTCAGTTGTACTCTGTTATTTTAAAATGTACAATAAATTATAAGTTATTGTTGACTGTAGTCACCCTATTGTAGTATCAAGTACTAAATCTTATTCATCTTAGCTAACTGTATTATGTACCCATTAATCATCCCCCTTTCTCCCACCCCCACTACCCTTCCCATCCTCCGGTAACCAAAATTCTGCTCTCTATCTCCATGAGTTCAGTTGTTTTAAACTTTAGCTCCCACAAATGAATGAGAATATGTAAACTTTTCCTTTCTGTGCCTAGTTTATTTAAGTTAATAAAATGTCCTCCACTTCATCCATGCTGTTGCAAATGACAGGATCTCATTCTTTTTTTATGGCTGAATAATACTCTGTTGTGTATGTGTGCCACATTTTATGCATTTGTCTTGTGATGGGCACTTAGGTTGCTTCCAAGTCTTACCTGTTGTGAATAGACTGCAGTAAACATGAGAATGCAGATGTCTCTTCGATATGCTGATTTCCTTTCTTTTGGGTATGTACCTAGTAGTGGGATTGCTGGATTGTATGATAGTTCTCTTTTTAGTTTTTGAGGAACCTCAAAACTACTACTGTTTTCCATAGTGATTGTACTGATTTACATCCCCACCAACAGTGTTCCCTTTTTTCCACATCCTCACCAGCATTCATTATTGCCTGTCTTTTGGATAAAAGCCATTTTAACTGGGGTGAGATGATGTCTTGTTGTAGTTTTGTTTTGCATTTCTCTGATGATTGGTGATGTTGAACACCTTTTCATATACCTGTTTACCATTTGTATGTCTCGTTTTAGAAATGTCTGTTCAGCTCTTTTGCCCATTTTTTAATAGGCTTATTAGATTTTTTCATATAGAGTTGTTTGAGCCCATCATATATTCTGGTTATTAACCCCTTGTCAGATGGATATAGGGATTCACATTCCCTGTCAGTTTGCAAATATTTTCTATCATTCTGTGGGTTGTCTCTTCACTTTGTTGTTTCTTTTGCTGTGTAGAAGCTTTTTAACTCAATATAATGCAATTTGTCCACTTTTGCCTTGGAGGCCTGTGCTTGTGGAGTATTACTCAAGAGATGTCCTGGAGCGTTTCCCCAATGTTATCTTTAGTAGCTTCATAGTTTGAGGTCTGAGATTTAAGTCTAATCCATTTGATTTGATCTTCATATATGACTAGGAAAACATTTAAGGTTTCTTTGTAAACATTTTTCTAGAAATGAAAAATAGGTTATTTGTACTGCCTATTTATAGGCATGTAAAGTGCTTTACATTTTATCAAAATGGCTACATTTAAGGCCAGAGTGCTTGACTGTCACAGGTGTAAATACTTTAGTGATCATCTGCTCAAACCTTCCATCCCAAAGAAGGAATACTATCTTCAACAACTGTGAAAGGATATAAACTTTTGCTTAAAATGAACACCTCTTTGTTTTATAAGGTAGCATATGACATTGTCAGACTATATGTTTAAAATAATTATTCCAACCTAAGCCTTTAGGGGAAAAAAAAAATCTTCCTTATGTAATTGAGCTAAAGTCGGCTTCCCTATGTCTACCAGTTTGTTTTGTGATCTCTTTCTTCCTTCCTTCAGCAGAACCAGAAAAACAGTTAAGTCAGCAACTGTGTGTCCTTTCCATCCTCTTAGTCTAGTCTACTTCATATAAATATCTCCAGTTCACCAGTGAGAACACATGGACACAGGGAGGGGAACATCACACACGGGGGCCTGTCAAGGGGTCAGGAGCAAGGGGAGGGATAGCATTAGGAGAAATACCTAATGTAGATGATGGGTTGATGGGTGCAGCAAACCACCATGGCACATGTATACCTATGTAACAAACCTGCATGCTCTGCACATGTATTCTAGAACTTAAAGTATAATAAAAAAAGAAATAAAAATGCAAGACAATGTCAACTATAGAATACAAGACAAACACATTTATCATTGTGTATTGGCAAAGGGCGAAATTTTCAATTAAACTGTAACAAACATGCACCTTTTTGAATCACGAGGTCAGGAGTTCAAGACCAGCCTGGTCAAGATGGTCTAGTAGACAGTCACCAGCCTGTCTACTAAAAATACAAAAATTAGCTGGGCGTGGTGGCAGGTGCCTGTAATCCCAGTTACTTGGGAGACTGAGGCAGAGAATTGCTTGAATCCAGGAGGTGGAGGTTGCAGTGAGCTGAGATCGCACCACTATACTCCAGCCTGGGTGACAGAGCGAGACTCCATCTCAAAAAAAAAGAAAAAAAAAAAAAAACAAACCTCCAGTTAACTTAGCCTTTTCATTTATGGCATTTCAAGTTCTCCCCATCCTAAAAGCTTCCTCTAGACCTGCTTTAGTTTGTTAATATTCTTTAAATTTGGACTGAATACAACACTTCACATACAAATGTGGGAGAAGAGGGTAACAAATTTTATAAAAATAATCCAGTCAGTTAGTAAACAAGCAGATAACAATAATAAGCCCAGTTGGTCAGGGGTGGTAGGGGGAGGGTGGGCCAGTACCCAGATTGTTACAGTGTGTTACCTAAAATGTCCAATTTCCAATAAATTATAAGACATGCAAAGAAACAGGAAAATGTGGCCAAGCATGGTGGCTCACACCTATAATCCCAGCAGTTTGGGAGGCCGAGGTGGGTGGATCACCTGGGGTTGGAAGTTCAAGACCAGCCTGACCAACGTGGAGAAACACGTCTCTACTGAAAAAAAAAAAAAAAAAAATTAGCCAGGGATGGTGGCACATGTCTGTAATCCCAGCTACAGGAGAGGCTGAAGCAGGAGAATTGCTTGAACCCAGGAGGCAGAGGTTGCAGTAAGCCGAGATTACACCATTGCACTCTAGCCTGGGCAATAAGAGCGAAACTCCGTCTCAAAAAAAAAAAAAGGAAACAGGAAAATATGACCCATACACTGTGAGCCGGGGACAGGGACAGAATGTAGGTAACAAACTGCCTCTGAGAGCAGTCAGGTGTCAGATTTAACAAAGACTTCAAAGTAGCCATTATAATTGTATTCAAAAACTAAAGGAAACTATTAAAGGAGTAAAGGGGGAGGTATGATAATGTTGCATCAAATAGACAATACCAATAAAGAGAAATTATTTTTTAAAAAGTGGAAATTCTGGAATTAAGTAAAATTACTAAAATGAAAAATTCATTAGAAGGGCTTAACAATAGATTTGAACTGGCAGAAGAGTTAGCAATTTGAAGATAGATTGATAGAGATTATTTAATCCAAAAAACAGAAAAAAGAATGAAGAAAAATGAACAGAACCTCAGAAAAATAGGGGGCATGCCACCATAGGTGTGACAGGATACTGAAGAAGAAGGGAGAGAAAAAGCAGAAAAAATATTTGAGGAAATAATGGCTGAAAAGTTCCCAGATTTACTGAAGAACATTAATCTGCTCTTCCAGGAAGTTCAGTGAACTCCAAATGGGATACACACAGGAGATCCACAAATAGATGAATCATAGTAAAATGCTGAAATCCAAAGACAAGAAGAAAATCTTGAAATCAGCAAGAGAAGAAGAACTTGTCACTTAATGAGTTTACCTGTATAACAAACCCGCACACATCTATCCCTGAACCTAAAATATAAGTTAAAAGAAAACCAAAACTCATCACTTACAGTGAACCTCAATAAGATTAACAGCTGACTTCTTAGCAGAACCGATAGCGACTAGTAGGCAATGGAATGACATACAAAGTGCTGAAAGAAAAAATAAAAACTACTAGTAACCAAGAATCTTATATCCAGCAAAGTTATCTTTTAAAATGAAGGCAAAAGAAAGACATTTACAGATAAATGAAAGATAAGATAATTTGTTCCTAGCAGAATCACCTTATAAGAAGTAATAGAGGAAATTCTTGGCTGGGCGTGGTGGCTTATGCCTGTAATCCCAGCACTTTGGGAGGCCGAGGCCAGCAGATCACAAGGTCAGGAGTTTGAGACCAGCCCTGCCAACATGGTGAAACCCCCGCCTATACTAAAAATACAAAAATTAACTGGGCATGGTGCTGTACACCTGTAATCCCAGCTACTCAGGAGGCTGAGGCAGGAGAATTGCTTGAACCTGGGAGGTGGAAGTTGCAGTGAGCTGAGATTGCACCACTGTGCTCCAGCCTGGGCAACAGAGCAAGACTTCATCTCAAAAACATAAAATAAAATAATAATAATAATAATGGAAATTCTTTAGGATGAAAACAAGTGACCCTAGAAAATGATTTGAATCCATTTGAAAAAAAGCAAAGAACAAGGGTAAGGGTAATTAAGTAATTTTAAAAGACAGTAAAGGCCAGGTGTGGTGGCTCATGCCTGTAATCCTAGTACTTTGGGAGGCCAAAGTGGGAAGATCCCATGAGCCCAGGAGTTTGAGATTGCAGTAAGCTAGGCTGCCCTCCAGCCTGGGCAATAGAGCAAGACTCTGACTCGTAAAAATACATTAATACATTTTTCTTCTACTCTCTACTCTTAACTGATTTAAAAAGTGATCACATAAAACAGTGCATATATAATATCATTTAGGCCTGTAACATATAGAAATGTAATATATTTTCCAATACAGCAAAAAGGACATGGGCGGTAGT